TTTTTTTTTGAGACAGGGTCTCACTCTGTTGCCCAGGCTAAAGTGTAGTGATGTGATCATAGTGCACTGCAGTCTCTAACTCCTGGGCTCAAGCGATCCTTCCACCTCAGCCTACCAAGTAGCTGGGACTATAGCTGAGTGCCATCATTCCTGTCTACGTTTTTTTCTTTCTGAGATGGAGTCTTGCACTGTTGCCCAGGCTGGAGTGCAGTAGGGCAATCTCAGCTCACTGCAACCTCTGCCTCCCGGGTTCAAGTGATTCTCCTGCCTCAGCCTCCCAAGTAGCTGGGATTACAGGAATGTGCCACCTTGTACAGCTAATTTTGTATTTTTAGTAAAGACAAGGTTTCTCCATACTGGTAAGGCTGGTCTCAAACTCCCGACCTCAGATGGTCCACCTGCCTCAGACTCCCAAAGTGCTGGGATTACAGGCATAAGCTACCACACTCAGGGTTTTGTTTTGTTTTTTGTTTTTGTTTTAATAAAATGTACTAACAGAGGGGTGGTGGTGATTGGCCTCTTGCTAGCTGCCAGGGCAGGAGGGTAGCTCTGTGGGTTGGTGAAAACAGTATCCAACCAGGTCCAAGGGAGACAGGGGCATGTCATGTCTCTGTCATGTCCCATTGATGGGTGGATTCCTGTGCAATCTGGAAGAATGAACTAGACCTCTATTACTGATATTGTGAAAAAACTGGTTATTTTACCAAGGCTTTGAATGGAATGGTACACTTTCCTTTAAGAAATTAAATGGATACTGCTTCACTCCACTCCACTAAAATGAAAAAAAAAAAAAAAAAAAAGAAAGAAAGAAAGAAAGAAATCAAACGGATACATGTCCACTAGGGAATGTATCTGAGTCACTCAGCAAACTATGTTAGCAGTGATAGTTATCTGAGTTATCCAGCACCAAAATATGTTACTGGTGGCAGGTACCCGAGTTACCGGCAGTGAATCTGTACAGGCCTGCAGCAACCTCAATTCTTGCCTCTTCAGAAGAAAGAATTGAACTGAGGGGTATAAGGCAGAAAGAGACTGAGGCAAGTCTTACAGCAGGAGTGAAAGCTTATTAAAAAGCTTTAGAGAAGGAATGAAAAGAAAGTAAAATACACTTGGAAGAGGACCAAGGAGGCATCCTGGAGGACAAGAGACTAGCTAGGTTTAAACAAAAATTTTTTTTTTGTAGAGATGGGGTCTTGCCCAGGCTTATTCTGTGGGTTTTGACAAATGTGTAATGACACATTATAGTATCATATGGAAGTTTCGCCAACCTAAAAATTCTCTGTACTCTGCCTATTTCTCTCTCCCTCCCCTCAACGCACTGATCTTTTTCCTGTCTCAGTAGTTTTGCCTTTTCCACATGTCATATAGTTGGAGTCATACAGCATACAGCCTTTTCAGATTGGCTTCTTTCACTTAGTGATGCACATTTAAATTTCCTCCATGTCTTTCATAGCTTGATAGCTCGCTTTTTTTTTTTTTTTTTTTTTTTAGACAGAGTCTTGCTCTATCACCCAGGCTGGAGTGCAGTTGCGCGATCTTGGCTCACTGCAACCTCTGACTCCCAGGTTCAAGCAACTCTCCTGCCTCAGCCTCCCAAGTAGCTGGGATTACAGGTGCCCACAACCAAGCCTGGCTAATTTTTGTATTTTTAGTAGAGATGAGGTTTCACCATCTTGGCAGGCTGGTCTTGAACTCCTGACCTGCTGATCCACCTGCCTTGGCCTCCCAAAGTGCTGGGATTACAGGCGTTAGCCACTGCACCTGGTGCTCACTTCTTTTTAGCACTGAACAACAGTTCCCTTTCTGGATGCACCAGTTTATCCATTCACCTGCTGAGGGACATCTTGGTTGCTTCCAAGTATTAGCAGTTATGAATGAAGCTGCTGTAAATATCTATGTGCAGGTTTTTGTGTGATAAGTTATCGCTCATTTTGGTAAATACCAAAGCTACTGTAAATGTCTATGTGCAGGTATTTATGTAAACATAAGTTTTCATTCATTTGAGTACCAAGGAACACAATTTTTGGGTCATATGGTAAGAGTTTATTTTGTAATCAACTGGCAGGCTATTTTCCAAATCACTATACCATTTTGCATGCCCACCAGCAATGAATGAGAGTTCCTGTTGCTCCACAACCTCTCCAGTATTTGGCATTCTCAGTGTTTTGGATTTTAGGCATTTTAATAGGCAAGAGTTCATCACTAGAAAACTTGCCCTATAAGAAATACTAAAAGGAGTTCTTCAAGCCAAAATTGTAGGGTGCTACCTATAATTCCAGCACTTTGGGAGGCTGACGCAGGAGAATCACTTGAGCCCAGGAGTTCAAGATCAGCCTGGGCAACATAACAAGACACTGTCTCTATAAAAATTAAAATTAAAATGTTAGCCAGGTGTGTTGGTACGCATCGGTAGTCCCAGCTGATTGGGAGGCTGAAGTGAGAGGATCACTTGAGCCCGGATGTTTGAGGCTGCAGTGAGCACTGATTGCACCACTACACTCCAACCTGGGTGACAGGACAAGACCCTGTCTCAAAAAATAAAATAGGCTAGGTATGTGGCTCACAACTGTAACATGAGAAGGTTGGTTGAAATGATTTCTGAGGCCCTTTCTAGTTCTGCAAGTCTGATGATCATTCTCATGTTATAACACTGCATTTTAGCATACTGTAATTTATTTAAACATACATTATGAAATACTTAACCCTCCTAAAGTGCCTTTACCTGCCATGATACCTTCTCTGTGGGTCTCCCCTTTAAAAATGTTTATCTTTGGAACTATAGGCATCAATTGGGCCTTGGTTAAAATGTAGTACAACCAAAATGTGGATTCCTATACAATCTGAAAGAATCCTATATTACTGACATTGTGGAGAAGTTTCCAAGATGAGACAGAAACACAAATTTCAAAACGATATACAATATGACAACATTGAGGGTTTTTGTTTTAGAGACAGTGTCTCACTCTGTCACCTACGCTGGAGTGCAGTGGTGTGATCATGGCTCACTGCAGCCAAGACTTCCTGGACTCAGGCGATCCTCCCACCTCAGCCTCCCAAGTAGCTGGGACTACAGGTGTACCCCACCAAACCTGGCTAATTTTTGTATTTTTTGTAGAGATGGACTCTCGCCATGTTGCCCAGGCGGGTCTCGAACTCCTGGGCTCAAGCAATCCACCTAGCTCAGCCTCCCAAAGTTCTGGAATTATAGGTGTGAGCCACCATACCCAGACAAGATTGAGGTTTTAAAAAACCTAACATACCATTAGTTTTCTCCAGAGAGTAGAATATGGTAGATGGAAAAATGTTATGTGAGAAACAAGGAACATTACTTTTTTTCCAAATATTTTTATGGGATTGCTTGAAATTATTTTATTTATTTAGAGACAGGGTCTCACTCTGTCACCCAGGCTGGAGCGTAGTGGGATGACTTTGGCTCAATGCAGCCTCAATCTTCCAGGCTCAAGCGAGCCTCCCATCTCAACCACCTGAGTAACTGGGACTACAGGCATGCACCACCACACCCAGGTAAAAGTTATTTTTAAATTGTATACCCCATCTACCCTGATATGATTATCGCATACTGTATGTCTGTATCAAAATATCCGATACAGGCTAGGCACAGTGGCTCACACCTGTAATCCCAGCACTTTGGGAGGCCGAGGCAGGTGGATCACCTGAGGTTTGGAGTTCAAGACCAGCCTGGCCAACATGGTGAAGTCCTGTCCCTACTAAAAGTACAAAAATTAGCAGGACATGGTGGTAGGTGCCTGTAATCCCAGCTACTCGGGAGGCTGAGGCAGGAGAATTGCTTGAACTTGGAAGGCGGAGGTTGCAGTGAACCAAGATCATGCCACTGCACTCCAGCCTAGGTGACAGGAGCAACACTCTTTTATTTTTTATTTTTGAGATGTTGTCTTGTTCTTGTCACCCAGCTTGGAGTGCAGTGGCATGATCTCGGCTCACTGCAACCTCTGCCTCCCGAGTTCAAGCGATTCTCCTGCTTCAACCTCCCAAGTAGCTGGGATTACAGGCGCCCACCACTATGTCTGGCTAATTTTTGTACTTTTAGCAGAGATGGAACTTCACCATGTTGGCCAGGCTGGTCTCAGGTTGCTGACCTTAAGTGATTCACCCATCTCAGCCTCCCAAAGTGCTGGGATTACAGGTGTGAGCCACCGCACCTGGCCGAGAGACTCTATCTTAAATATATGTAAATATATCCCGTATCGCTTCTCGGCCTTTTGGCTAAGAGCACGTGTAAATATATCCTGTATACCCCTTAAATATATACACCTATTATGTACCCACAAAAATTAAAAAAAATCTTAAATTATTTTAGAATTGAAAAGTTATCTAGTGCATATAATAAAATGCACGGCATGATGCTTTTTCACAAGTAGAATACTCCCATATTATTAACACCCAGATAAGGAGTCACAACAGCCCTGGAGCCCAGAAACCCCTTCTGCCCTCTCCCAAATCAGTAGCCTCCTCCTGTTATCACTATCCTTATTTCTAACTGGGCTATTAATTTTTTTATAAAAACCCCAGAACATTTTGGATGTTAATTTTTTTTATAAGCAAGATTACTTTTACAATACAAAATGTAAAAAAAAATAGCCTTAAATTAAGGATTTATTTATGCAACAACAAAATGATCTGATCAAATTCTGGGAACACAAAAATAAAGGTTTCCAGTTCCAAGAAGCTCACAGACTAACAGGAGAAACAAAACTAAACGATTAAATAACAGTTCTAGGCTGGGCACGGTGGCTCATGCCTCTAATTCCAGCACTCCGGGAGGATGAGGCGGGTTGATTACTTGAGCTCAGGAGGTGGACTCCAGCCTGGCCAACATGGTGAAACCCCCCATCTCTACCAAAAAATACAACAGTTAGCTGGGTATGGTGCCTCTGTAGCCCCAGCTACTTGGGGAGGCTGATGTGGGAGAATCACTTGAACCTGGGGGTGGAAGTTGCAGTAAGCCAAGATTGTGCCACTGCACCCCAGCCTGGGTGACGGAGTGAGACCCTATCTCTAAATAAATAAATAAAAGTTTTGATAGAAATATGAATCCAGCGCTGCCACTGCAAGGGAGGGCTAAGGGGAGCTGAGAAAGATTTCATGGAAAAGTGTGGCTTTAAAGGATGAATAGAAGCTGGCAGTCATCCGTTACCATAAACAATGGAAATAAACAAACAGAAACTAGCTCTTTAAGAAACAGTCTACAGGGAGGGCTGGCTACTGGTTAATCCTACCTGGTTTGGCTTCTGAAGCCATCAGTCAAGATGACATCACCATTGATCAGGTTTCTCAGGGCGGTGTGCATTTGCCAGGTGTGTAATGAGGAAAAGGAAGTCTCCGGAATCCTCCCCTGGCGTCCCAGGAGGCGAAAGCTATGCACTGCACAGAGGCTGGGAAGGCTTTAATTAAATTCAACCACTGTGAGAAATACATCTACAGCTTCAGGGTGCCCCAGTGCTGCCCCCTCTGCCAGCAAGACCTGGGCTCGAGGAAGCTGGAGGAAGCACCTATTAGCATCGCTAATCCATTCACTAATGGACATCAGGAAAAATGTTCATTCCTCCTCAGACCAACTCAGGGGACGTTTCTTAGGTACAGTGTTTTTTAAAGTGTTAAATTGCATTGTGCAAACTTGTCCTTCTGTTTTAGTCACTAAAACTTCCTTTTCTTAATATATAATGTGTGAGGTTTCGTGGACATTTTTTTTGGTGCTTTCGCGTTAAATCCTGAGATGCAGGCCTACTGGCTTCATAAAAATAGATGGTGTGCATGCGTGCCTACAGTGGTAAGTGCAAGAATATATGTGGAGGCCGGGCGCGGTGGCTCAAGCCTGTAATCCCAGCACTTTGGGAGGCCGAGGCGGGTGGATCACGAGGTCAAGAGATCGAGACCATCCTGGTCAACATGGTGAAACCCCGTCTCTACTAAAAATACAAAAAATTAGCTGGGCATGGTGGCGCATGCCTGTAGTCCCAGCTGCTCAGGAGGCTGAGGCAGGAGAATTGCCTGAACCCAGGAGGCGGAGGTTGCGGTGAGCCGAGATCGCGCCATTGCACTCCAGCCTGGGTAACAAGAGCGAAACTCCGTCTCAAAAAAAAAAAAAAAAAAAAAAAAAAAGAATATATGTGGAATATATGAAGAATAAACCTGCTCACACAATTTTCAGAGAGAAAAATGTGTGCTCAGAGGCTAAGTGGGAAAATGACCCAGCAGCTAATCTTATCTAAATAATACCTTTACTGCCAGTTAGGGTGTAGTTTCAGTGACAAACAGGTACAATGTACAGGGCCTGATGAACTGGCACTTACAGACCGTTTTTTATGGAGGCAAGTTAAACTGAAGACTAGAACTGTTCTGTTTCCATCATAGACACCACCTGGCTTTGATTAAGAACAAATTTAGTTCCTTCTTGCTGAGAGTGCTGGTACAAACAAAAAGAATGAATTCAGAAAGCAAAAGTAGGATCACACCTTTTTTTTTTTTTTTTTTTTCCCCCCTGAGACGGAGTTTCACTCTTGTTGCCCAGGCTGGAGTGTAATGGCATGATCTTGGTTTACTGCAACCTCCGCCTCCTGGGTTCAAGCAATTCTCCTGCCTCAGCCTCCTGAGTAGCTGGGATCCACCACGCCTGTCTAATTTCTGTATTTTTAGTAGAGATGGGATTTCACTATGTTAGCCAGGCTGGTCTCAACCTCCTGACCTCAGGTGACCCGCCCGCCTCAGCCTCCCAGAGTGCTGGGATTACAGACATGAGCCACTGTGCCTGGCCAGGTTTGTATTTTATTGTCCCCATGGAGTTTACCAATAGGATTAGGATCGATCCCATATAAGCCAGGCTTTAGAATAGCATAGGTCATTAAATGTTGGTGTATGCTTTAGGAAGCGTGTTCAGCTCCTGTGTATCATCAGTCTAATACTCCTTAGTCTACCCTCCTAACTCTCCTGTCCCCTCAAGAGTGCTGATTTTGAATAAGAAAATGGGAGTTGACTACTCACCTTCCTGCTTACTAACTTCCTTAAACAATTTCCTTCTGGTCCCTATGAGGATGAAGTGAACCAAAGTCTGTAAAAGATTTTGGTCATAATGTTTGGTGCTAAACAGACAGCATCCCTGGGCCTTGCTCAGGGAGGCAGCCAATGCAGATAGGGCATTACAGGGTCTGGCATCATAAAGCCCCTGATTCCTAACCTGGCTCTTCTAACCGGTTCCAGGAGTCTGGTTCCTTATCTGTAAAACAAAGATTAAAATTAAAATTGTTAATCTTTTTTTTTTTTTTTTTTTTGAGACAGGGTCTCACTCTGTTGCTTAGGCTGGAGTGCAGTGGTGCAATCTCTGCTCACTGCTACCTCTGCCTCCTGGGCTTAAGGGATTCTCATGTCTCAGCCACCCGAGTAGCTGGGATTACAGGTCCCTCCACCGCACTCAGATAATTATTTTATTTTTTAGTAGAGACGAGGTATCACAATGTTGTCTAGGCTGGTCTTCAACTCCCGGCTTCATATGCCCACCTCAGCATCCCAAAGTGCTGGGATTACAGGCATGAGCCACTGTGCCCAGCCTAATTTTTAATCTTAAACATTAAATATTTAATTTCAATAAAAATATTGAAAATGATTCTATCACCTGTTTCCTGGGGGCAACTTCACAGCCCTGAACAGCAGGTACAGCTAGAACTGGGTTTGTTTCAAGAAAATGTTTTGCTGATAACAGGGAAGGCTATTTGAACTTAACTTAAATGGTAGGTGCATAGGAGGTTTAGCAATAGGGTATATAAGCCTGTCTCAAGCTTCAGTTATGTTTCACCAACATGCTCCTTCCCATCCTATTCTTTTTATGTTCACTTCAGACTCTAACTACAAAGCCTGGCAGAAGCTTCATGTGAACCTAATCAGAATCATGAAGCCCAAACTGTTTTGGGGTTTTGTTTTTTTAGAGTCAGGGTCTCTCTATGTTGCTGAGGCTGGAGTGCAGTGGTACAATCATAGCTCACTGTAGCCTTGAACCCATGGGCTCAAGTGATCCTCCCAGCTCAGCCTCCCAAGTAGCTGGGACTACAGACAACAGCCACCATGTCTGGCTCTCCCCCTACTTTTTTGTTTTTGAGACAGTCTTACTCTGTTGCCTAGGTTGGAGTGCAGTGGCACAATCTCCTCTTATTGCAATCTCTGTCTCACGAGTTCAAGTGATTCTCATGCCTCAGCCTCCCAAGTAGCTGGGATGCATGCCCCACCATGCCCAGCTAATTTTTGTATTTTTAGTAGAAACAGGGTTTCATCGTGTTGGCCAGGCTGGTCTTGAACTCCTGGCCTCAATGGATCCTCCCACCTTAGCATCCCAAAGTGCTGGGATTACAGGCATGAGCCACTGCACCCAGCCAGCTCTCCTCCTTATTTTCTTGGACTGTCTCTCGCTCTATCACCCAGGGTGGAGTGCAGTGGTGCAATCTCGGCTTACTGCAACCTCCACCTCCCGGGTTCAAGTGATCCTTGTGCCTGAGCCTTCCGAGTAGCTGGGATCACAGGCACACACCAACATGCCCAGCTAATTTTTGTATTTTTAGTAGAAACAGAGTCTCACCATGTTGACCAGGATGGTCTCGAACAGCTGGCCTCAAGTGATCCGCCTGCCTTGGCCTCCCAAAGTGCTGGGATTACAGGTTTGAGCCACTGTGCCTGGCCTCCTCCTACTTTAAATGCCAATTCTTCATGCCAAACACATGCAAACCAGAAAAAAACAAACCTTGTTTCTTTCAGGGAGTATGATGGAAGGTCTAATCTTCACGTTGGAATAACTAACACAAATGGTAAGTGCGGTTTCATAGCTTAAAACCCAATACCCAGTAAAAGGAAAGTAGTATTTGTAGAGAAGATTCGATTATGGCAGCATCTAATGAGTGATTCCATTGTTCCCTGGGTTCTCGTACTCTACCATGAGGTGTGCACTGCCCCCAAATGAGAAATATTTGACTTTATGGCAAATTATTACTACTAACAATATGAAATATTTGAAAGCTCTTTAATATTAGTTTTCTCAGTGAAGAGCCTCACAAACCTGTACGTTTTTAAAAGAGGAAGAAATAGATGTCCAGTGAGGCTGAGTTGCCCAAGACCTCACATCTTGTATCCGAACCAGAATCTGGGAACAGGCCCTCTGATTTCCAATCCTTCATATGCTCAGCCAGCTACCACTGGGTCCCCACACTCCAGGGACTTCAGGAGTAAAGTAGGGTGTGGTGGGGCCTGCAGTGTTTTTGTTTTTTTAAAGAAAGTGAAGATTAAACAAAACAGTTCCTTTGGCCACCTATAGCTCTGAGGGCAGTGTGCAACTCTTCAGCCAGTAGCTTTCTTGTCTGCAGGAAAAGGGTCTGGGTGGAGCCACCTGCAGGATGTGTAGCCCGGGCATGGTGAAGTCTGATAACAGCCTTACCCGCTGAGCAAAGAGAAATTGACACTGTGGTCAGAAACCCAGACCAGTTCTGAACTCAGTTACCCACAAGAACAGTCATACTTACCACTCATCTTTATCAGGTGGTAATTTATTCCTGATTTAAGGAAATAAGATTGAACCATTAGTAAATAGAGAACTTCAATAAAAATATTGGAGATGATGATCCTGGTGACTATTACTATCTCCGCTTCCTGGGAGCAACTTCACAGCCCTGAACTGCAGGTAGAGCTAGAACTGGGGTTCTCTCATGCAAATGCTTTGCTGATAACAGGAAGGCTACATACACCCGCTCCCTGACTCTAGGCAAATCTAAATCTTATTAGGTGGATGGAAGGAGATTCTAGAACCTCCCGCCTAGGTTTATATTACGTAAAGTTACCATGTGGCTACTGTCATTTTCTGATGTCCCTTTTTCACAGAGGTGTGTGTTTCCTTAAGGCTCCACATGACTTTGGTTTTTGTTTGTAGGGGTTGTGTATAATTACAGTGCACATGGTGTCCAGCGAGATGGCGCAGGGTGGGAGCAGAGCATAAGCATCCCATTACTGCAGCCCAACATGTATGGAATGATGGAGCAATGGGACAAGTACCTGGAAGACTTCTCCACCTCGGGGGCCTGGTTGCCTCACAGGTACATGGCTGCAAAGGGCGACCCTCGCTGGCACTCACATGTTATTCAACTGGGATCTCCGTATGGCCTCAGCTCACAGAGGACTCGGCAGCATTTAGCTTCATGTTGAGTTCACATGGAGATATTAGCATCTCTAACAAAATTGAAACAGAAGTTGAACTACCTTAGGTTTTCTGCAGGTGGGTCAGCATACACATATAACAAAATCACAGCACTGTAAGAGGTAAAAGGACTAGAACCTGTATTCGGTTATTTTAGTTATGTGACAAGTTATTTTTCACACATATACAGCAAGTCACGATATTATATTTCGGTAAAACAAAAATTTTAAAAACCAATGTTCAGGCCGGGCACAGTGGCTCATGCCTATAATCCCAGCACTTTGGGAGGCTGAGGCAGGTGGATCACCTGCGGTCATAAGTTTGAGACCAGCCTGGCCAACATGGTAAAACTCCATCTCTACTAAAAATACAAAAATTAGCCAGGCATGGTGGCAGACACCTGTAGTCCTTACTTGGGAGGCTACTTAGGAGCTTAGGCAGGAGAACTGCTTGAACCCAGGAGATGGAGGTTGTAGTGAGCCAAGATCGTGCCATTGTACTCCTGCCTGCCTAACAGTGAGGCTCTGACTCCAAAAAAGAAAAAAAACAAAAAACCAAAAAAACAATGCTCAAAATTTAAAAATACTTGTTTCTATTTTGTAATTTTAGCAATTTCAACTTAATTTCTCAATTCCTCTCTCCCAACATTTCAGAAGATGTCTTTTTGTAGAGATGGGGTTTCACCATGTTGGCCTGGCCAGTATCGAACTCCTGACCTCAGGTGATCCTCCCACCTTGGCCTCCCAAAGTGCTGGGATTATAGGTGTGAGCCTCTGCGCCTGGCCTGAATTGCACATCTTGAAGCTTCTTAACCACATGAGCCAGCACACTCAGAAGCCCTGCTCACTGAGGCACCTAATTTCAGTTAGGAAAGGCCTTTGTTATCTTCATGGCCTGTTCCTGAGCAGACTTTTCCTCCCAATGCCTTTGTTCTCTTCAAGGTATGAAGAAGACCACTACAACTGCTACACTTACACACTCTTGTTCATTAACTGCGTTCTGATGGCAGAAGGTAGAGAGCAACTGGACAAGAGTGAATTTACAGAGAAGTACGTGGTCCCTCGGACAAGGCTGGCATCCAAATACATCACACTCTACCGAGCAATACAGGAGCATGGCTTCTATGTCACTGACCGTCCCCAGCAGGAGGCACAAGCCCCTGAGGGCAGCGGTTTGTGCTGAGAGCTACGTAAGTGCAGTCCGGACAATGGGGGTAGGGAGCTTGCTACCTTTCATCAGTACTATGGATTTCTAAATGCATTTAACTGTGGTCAATAAAAACTTGTATGGGTTGGGCCCTGTGTCTCACACCTGTAATCCCAGTACTTCGGGAGGCCGAGGCAGGCAGGTCGTCTGAGGTCGGGAGTTTGAGACCAGTCTGGCCAAAATGGTGAAACCCCATCTCTACTAAAAATATAAAAATTAGCCAGGCGTGGTGGCAGGTGCCTGTAATCCCAGCTACTTGGGAGGCTGAGGCACAAGAATCGCTTGAACCCAGGAGGCAGAGGTTGTAGTGAGCCAAGATCGCAGCACTGCACTTCAGCTTGGACGACAGAGCGAGATTCCATCTCAAGAAAAAAAAAGTGCATAGTAAGCTCATGATAGTGAACAATAGTAAAACAAAACAAAACCAAAAACCCCCTCAGAATCTAAATCAGGAAATGGTTACTCCTTTTAAATGAACTCTTCAGGGTCTATTTGCACAAACAGGCCTGGCAATGCCTCAAATCAGTAAAATTCCAGCCTGTGTCCTTTTCATTTGGCCTGACCCAACACATGGAGGTTCAGGAGTTGGGTTTGCCGCCACAAAGTACTTCCTATGCCCACTGGAAAGGCAGAGTTCAGAAAGGACACGAAGACAGGGCTATCTTCTTTCCCTGATAGCTTCAGGAGGAGTCTGGGGAAACTGGGATCAGTAACTGTGGGGATTTTGAACAAGTATGTTGGAGTTTGTGTACCGAAAGAATCATCGAACTTCAAAACGCCAACATGCAAAACATTCCCGAATTCCTCTTTGGAAACTTCTTCCAGAACTCATTTTTTGACTAAATGTGATGTATTACTTTACTTAATCTTATTCCCCAGCCTTGGTACCAACTGATATCTAATTTCCAAAAATCAAAAACCCATCTTAAAGGCAACAATAACTGCCTCATGTTAAAATAACTTAGGGGGACGCCATTACACCAAGATGGATCCAACACCCAGTTCCAAATTAAACTAAATGAAACTTAAGCTCAGCCAATCCTAAATGGCCAACTGAGCATTAGTTACACAATCAGATACTTGCCACTGGAATAACCTAAATAAGGCAACATCTCAAACTTCAACCAACTTCTCACCTGTGCTTCCTCAAATGCCCTCTAAAAGCCTCCCTTCACACTCTTTCCAGGAAGCCCGAGCCACTTCAGTTTTGGTACAGCTTGATTCATGAATGGCTGTTTGCTCAAACACACTCTTTAGATTTTAATGTGCTTTATCCTTTAACATTAGGAATAAAGATCATCAGAAAACTTGCTACAGATCCTTAAAGCTTGTTTCCAAAGAGGCATTCGGTCCATTTTTCAGCGCAGTTAACTTCAGTGGGAAAGAATGCATGGCATAGCAACATTTGCATTTACAAGCTCAGGTACTTTCCTTTAAAGAAATACAAAACTGCCCACCCAGAATTTGATACCATTTTAAGCAAAACTGTGACTGGTATTCCATGGTGTTCAAGAAGTCAACAAAACCCCAGACATTAAAGATGAAAGAATTCCAATTTGCTTCCATTCTCTTCACATTTTATACTAGAATTCAGCTTCTTTAGTCTAATTCTTTACCAATTATAACAGCAGCTGCATTTAATGAGTATTCATAAAGGCCTCCAACCAGAAGAAACACTTACTATTCTTCCTTGCCAATCCTCAAGACCATCCTCTGAGGTAGGTCCTAACATGCCTCTTTTACAGATGAAAAGAGAATTTGAGGAAATTATTTGTCCAAAGTCATACAATGGCAAAACTGGGGTTCAAACCAAGGCTTGACTGCAAAAGCTGTGCCCTTAACCCCTGGGCCACACTGCAGAGGTCAAGAGGACAACCCCCCAGCAAATTAGAAGGGACCAACTGTACCTAGTATGTGCAGAAGCTAGGTCAATGCTTTGCCATCATTAGAGAAGAAAAAGGAGAAAATAAGGATTTGTTTTTATCAACATTCAAACATGGAAAGGAGGTAAACAATAAAAGACAGCTAAAATAAATAAGGAATGCCTATATTATGCTAATTTCCCTTAGGGGCTGCACCTCTTTTCTTTTCCATTTATTTATTTTCTTGGAGACAGGGTCTTCCTCTGCTGCCTAGGCTGAAGTCCACAGGCACGACAATGGCTCACTGCAGCCTCAACTCCCTGGGTTCAGGCAATTCTCCTACCTCAGCCTTCCTGGTAGCTGGGACTACAGGTGCATGCTATCACACCCAGCTAATTTTTAAAAAATTATTTATAGAGACAGGGTCTCACTATGTTGTCCAGGTTGGTCTCTAGTGATCCCCCTACTTCAGCCTCCCAAAGTGCTGGGATTCTCACCCCTTTTCAAGGAAAGCTTTAGATCTCCTATTTTAGGGGGTGCTCTCCAATCTGGGGGTGACATTGGCAAAAGCTGGCCTCATACTTCTTCTCTCTCAATTTTCTGCAGGCTATGAATTCCCTCCTTTTTTTTTTTTTTTTTTTTGAATCATTTTTTCTCTTGCTGCCCAGGCTGGAGTGCAGTGGCAAGATCTACACTCCACTCCCAGGGGCTGGCCCCATGCCTTCTAGGGATGACTGTCCAATTCTTGCCCCTAGGCTCCTCAGAAGACAGGATGGAGCTGATTTAGCTTGCTCCAAGACGGAGCAGCGCCAGCACACAGGCCTTCAATAAATCTCTTGCCTCATTCCACATTTTGTGCACAATGTCTGTATTTGTCATCAGGTGGGTGGGCCGATCTTCAAAAAGCACATTTCTGTTCTCAACCCACATTTAGCTCTGAATATAAAGCAAACTGACATGGGTCTCCTCAGTCTCTTGCCAGTTTAGTGTAGTTGTTCCTTTCAGGAAGGGGACACTGTTATGCATCACGTTTGTTTGTTTTTTTTTTTTTTTGAGATTAGGTCTCACTCTGTCACCCAGGCTGGAGTGCAGTGGGGTGATCTTGGCTCACTGCAGCACCAACCTTCCAGGCTCAAGCGATCTTTCTGCCTCAGCTTCCCAAGTAGCTGCGACTACAAGTGCGTGCCACCATGCCTATTTATTTATTTATTTAGTAGAGACAGTTTCCCTATGTTGCTAAGGCTGGTCTTGAACTCCTGGGCTCAGGTGATCCTCTCGCCTCTGTCTCCCAAAGTGCCAGGATTATAGTGATTTTTGAGCTCTCCTTTACCCACACAACCACACAATGAGGTAAACATCATTAGCCACATGCCAGACATAAGAAAACTGAGGTTATGAAGGGCAAGTAGATTGCCCAAGGCGCCCCACCACAGGGAAGCAGAGCTGAGATTTGAAGTTTCTTTCTAGAAGGTTCACTTTACTACCGTTTTCAGAATTATCTTTGGGCAATTAAAAGCCAAGTACCACACACTGCACCAAGGTGGTTCTTACCCTTGCATCCATAGGTGGTTGTCATAGAATCTTTCTGATGCTGTTTCCAAAATCATAGGCACAACCGGTAAGTAAGGGGGCTTCAGGCTGCACCCCAACCCTGTGTGGGAGCACAAAGCTGGCCCTGCCTGATGTCGTGGGTGACCTTCCTTGTTCACCACCACCACCAGACAACAGGGCTGTATTTCTGACTACATGTAATTTTTAGAATAGTGTCTTTTCAGCTGAGATAGCAATCTCCGGTCAAGTCCTCAACGTGCATGACTGGTAGTGATGCACGCCCACCATCTCTGAGCTTCAAACACTTCTCTGTGGGTCCCTCCTGAATTCCCAAGGCTGCTGCCGGGATAAATACACAGGCATCTGCCCCATCTCAACTCCCACTCTCCAAATGTTCTGAATGTTTGCTATCATGGTTTGCAAAATATTTTACCCCATATTGGCTATCCAAATTAAATACAGCAAATATGTAAGGGCTTGCGGCAAAGTTGTATTCAAGTATTATCTGGACCAGATAAAAGGATGTAGCTCAAACTATCACCTTAGCTGATCACCCGATGTTTGTTTAGTCTGTGGTGTATTATCATATTGTCTTCCCCAGTTTACTATGTGAAAATGTCTCCAAAGGAAAAGGCCCATGAAACAAGGTAACTTTTAGAGGCCTAGGATATCCCATTAGGAAAAAATCGGGGGTGGGGGCTGAGCGAAGTGGCTCACGCCTGTAATCCCAGCACTTTAGGAAGCCCAGATGGGTGGATCACCTGAGGTCAGGAGTTCAAGACCACCCTGGCCAGCATGGTGAAACCCCATCTTACTGAAAATTCAAAATTTAGCCAGCCATGGCGGCACATGCCTGTAATCCAAGCTACTTGGGAGGCTGAGGCAGAAGCAGCACTGGAACCTGGGAGGCAGAGGTTGCAGTGAGCCGAGATCATACCACTGCACTCCAGCCTGCCTGGACGACAGAGTGAGACTCATCTCACAAAAAAAAAAGGAAGTGATAAAGTATACTGAGAAAGGTAGACACTGAAGATAAAATCCTTGCCCAGCATGTGTCCACCTTTTGTGTGTCTAATGTTTTGCACTGGGTGACAAGACTTGTGGAAATACTGTTGGTTCCAGAAGGTTTCATGGCGTTCTTGAGCACGGTGTACTAAAGCTAGTGAAATTCTTGTGCTGAGGATGCCTGGCCAGTCGGCCTGATGCCACTGAGACAAGGCTGATGTGGCAGAAGGTTTTGAACACCACTGGAGAGCTGAAAGAGTGGCGGAGGAGAGAGATGATTTGGGGAAGGATTCTAGCTAATTTAAAAGCAAGTCTGGAAAGATCAAGAGATAACCACCTAAACCTGATTATTTTGACGAGTATGAGCGAAGCAATTTCTGCTCTAGGTGAGGCTGTACCATCTCCACAGTGAATTACGGGAAAACTCCTGCAGGTGGTTTTAAGCACAGAGCAAATTTCTAATCTTGATGAACCTGTTTTTGGCTTAAAGCAAAAAGAAATGCTATCCTGTACATTTCAGAAGAAAATGTGTCAGGACATAAAACCTCCAAAGATAAGTGAATACTGCTGTTAACTGGAAATTGTGACAGTAATGTTAAACGAAACCCTTGCTAATGTATCATTCCAGAACCCAGAGGCCCCTGGGTGATGCTGAAGACTGCTCAGCCTGCTCTATGGTGTCCAAGCTGTATACGTAAAGAAAAGTATTTCATACAGACTTCCTTGACTAAAGATGATCCTTCTGGGGGAGGAAGGCAGCAAATCACACTGCCACATGTGTACCTATGCAACAATCTTGCATGTTCTTCACATGTACCTCAAAACCTAAAATGCAATTAAAAAAAAAAAAAGATGATCCTTCTGGACATTCTTCTAGAGATTTCAGTTGCAAATAATATTGGTGTGGTCTTTTGGCTTTTCAATACCACATCACCGCAACCTGCATGCCCAGGAGTCACCACAAACTTCGTGGCATATTAGTTGATGATAAAGTATCTGATGTAGGTTGCTGATATTTAATGGAAGAGTTTTTGTTTGTTTGTTTGTTTACCATAAAGAAGTGTCACCACAAATATGAATGAAATAAGAAAGAAAAGGTCCCTGATATTTTTTTGCTGACTTTCAAGGTTTTGAGAAAATGACTCAAAGCAAAAAATCTTTGGCCTCACGGTAAGCAAGACAGACAGTAAAAATGTTGGACTACAGCCTCACTAATGAGGAGCTGCTTAGACACTCTTTCTACTAAGAAACACTTCCAACTGATGGTTACTTCTGGGGAGCAGGGGAGCAAGGAGCTCCATAATTTGAACAAAATGTTAACTCCCCCCGCCCTTGCTCCTAGAACTAAGAACACCTTTTAAAATAAATTTCTTTTTTTGAGACGGAGCCTCACTCTGTCACTCAGAATGGAGCACAGTGGCATGATCATGGCTCACTGGAACCTCTAATTCCTGGTCTCATGTGATCCTCTCAGCTCAGCCTCCTGAGTAGCAG